CCACCAGAGCCACCTTGCTGATGCCTTATCACCTTTCTCTTCCCTCTACCCTCTTCCCTCCCCCACTCCCTCTGGTAACCAGTTTATTTTCAACAGTCTGATGAGTCCTTAAGAAGTACATCTGGGGTCTCTCTGGTGGCTCAAGGGTTAAAGACGCAGTGTGATGAAGCTACATTACTGGCCACTGCAGCAGGAGTTCAATCCCCAAGTTGGCCAGGGAGCCGACCCATATGGCACAGCAGACCTCTCCTTGTCTTGCTGGCTGCTCCCCTCAGCAGTGTATTTCAGTAATCTGCCTGTTCTGCTCCCCATTGTTTTTGGTGAATCCTCTCAACCCCCCACCACATATCTGGCCTATACTCCAGTTTTTGTATGCATATGTAAATTAAATCTTTAAAAGAAAACAGAGGTACATCAAATATATTTTTTTTGTCAGAGAAAATGGGTTAACTTCTCGATTAAATTTCAAAAGATTTTGCAGAAATTGGTAAACTGATCCTAAAATTCATTAGGCAAATGTCAAGTGATTTAGAATAGCTAAAACAATTTTGATAAGGAAGAACAACAGTGGAGGGCATAATTACAGAGGTGCAGTAATCGAGCCAGTGAGATACTGGCATGTAGGTCAATGGAAGAAAACTGGCAGTCCAGAAATAAGCTCTTACATTATGGTCAAGTGCTTTTCAACGACAATGCCAAGAAAATTCAATGGGAAATGAGTTACTTTTTCAAGAAATGGTACTGTAACAACTGGATATCCATATGCAAGAACAATGAAGTTCAACCCCCTTCATTATACCATGAAAATTAACTCAAAATGGTCCATAGACCTAAATGTATGAGCGAAAACTGTGAGACTCAGAAGAAAACAGGAGCAAATTATTTGTGTTTTTGGGATAGGCACTGGTTTGTTAGCTATGACACCCAAAGTAAAACAAGAAAAAATAGATACATTAAAATGAAAAGGATTCATGCTTCAAAGGACACATCACGAAATGAAAAGACAACTTCCAGAGTTAGAGAAAATATTTGCATGGCGTGTATCTGATATGGGGCTTGTATCCAGAATATAAAGCATTTTTACAACTCAGTAACAAAAAGAAAACTAATCTGATTAAAGCATTTCAATAGGCATTTCTCCAAAGAACTCAGATAGCAAGCAAGCACATGAAAAAAATGCTCAATATTATTTATCACTAGGGAAAATACACATCAAAATCAGAGTGACAACGAATTTCACATCCATTAGGCTTACTATAATAATTAAAAAAGGCAAGGGCCTCCCTGGTGGCACAAGGGGTTGTCTCAGTACTATGAAGCTATCAGCAGCCACTAGTTAAAGTCTCAGAGCTATCAAGCGATTGCCAACCACCTGCCAACCACCGCAGCCTGAGTTTGCTCACATGGAGCAGCAGACCTCTCTTCTCTCATCCACTTCTCCCCTCAGCAGTGTATTTGTCAATCCACCTGTCCTTTTTCTGTCTCTGGTGAATCCTCTCACCCCCCACACCTCTGGCCTATACATGCATAAATTAAAAAAAAATCTTAAAAAAAAATCTTAAAAAAGGCAACATAATCTGTGTTGACAAGGATGTGGTAGAAATGCAAGATGGTGTAGCCATTCTAGAAAACAGCTTGACAGTGTCTCAAGAAGTCAAAAATAAGATTCAGCAATTCTCCTAGGTGTATACTGAACAGAAAGGGAAACGAATATACACATACAAAAAGGTGTGCATAAACCTTTAGAATGCTATTATTTATAATAGCCAGACAGGAAACAATGCAAATGTTCATCAACTGATGATCAGATAAAAGACATGGACAATGGACTCTTTAGAAATGAAAAGGAACGAGGAATGCTACGTGCTTAATATGATGAACCTTGAAAGCATCATGCTGAGTGAAAGAAGACAGGAGCAAAGAACACATACTGAACAAGCATATGTATTTATATTAGGTGTCCGGAAGAAGCAAACCCAAGACAGAAAGTAGATTATTTGGGTCTGGGCTGGGGGCTGAGAAGAAAGTGGAAAGTGACTGCTGCTTAGTAAAAGGCTTCTTCTGTGATGAGACTATCCTAAGCTCAGTGGTGATGGTTGCACAACTAAACCAGCATGGTTGAACATACTAAAACCACTGAGATTGTATACTTGAAGTGGGTGAATGTAATGGCATATGTATCAATAAAGATGTTTAAAAATTTTACATAGTACATGTAAAGAATCAGTTTGGATTGTAGACAATGATTTTAATTACTGTAAGTTATGCAATAACCTTGTAAACCCTGCCATTCTGTGCTGTCAATCTGCTTTATCTTTGAGTCTGCCTGGTTCAATGTATTTCATGTATAACCTTAAACAGAGGACCTGAAAATCACAGCCACAGACTAAATAACTTTAGTCTCTTATTACCCTGTTACTGCTAGTCATCACTTTTTAGAATTATTTATTTTTTAAAGATATTTATTTATGCTTACAGAACTGGGGTACAGGCCACAGGTGTGGTGGGTGAGAGGATTTACCAATGACAGAGTGGGGAGCAGAACAGGCAGATTGACACTGAGGGTAGCAGCGGGCAAGTCAGAAGAGGTCAGCTCCCTGGCTGGGAATTGAACTCGTGCTGCAGTGGCTTTGGAGAGATTCATAATGTGGTGCTTTAACCTGTTGCACCACCAGGGAGAGCCCGGGCCCTAGCATTATTTTAAATAAAATGAGTGCTATGCTGAGGGGGCAGGATTCTGTACTGAATTGTGCTTCCTCAAAATTCATACACTGCATCCCTAATCATCCCCCCCCCAGCTCCAAATGTGACTCTGTTTGGAGACAGGGCCTTTAAAGAGGTAATTAAGTTAAAATGAGGTCTTACGGTGTGGTGGCTTAATCTAAACTGAGTGGTGTCCTTCTAAGAAGAGATTTAGGAATTACAGAGACACCAGAGGCACATGTCCCTGTAGAGCTGTCCGTGGGGAGAGGGCAGCCATCTGAAAATCAAGGAAAAAAACAAACTTGCCAGCATCTTGATTTTAAGACATCCAGTCTCCAGAACTACGAAAAAATAAGTTCCTGTCATTAAAGCCACCATGGGGTTCAGTTATGGCAGAGCTGGCAAAGTGTCGCCTATTCTGCACCAGAGGGAACTCTTCTGGCAAGTGTTTGTTATGTTCCTTCTTGAGTCCCAGCTCTCCAGTAGATGTTCAAGAAACATCTGCTTAATGAACAAGTAAGGTAGGAAGCTAGAAACAGTAAAATCTGGAATATTTTTCTTTTGAAAACATATGGGGAAACATTAAACCTCAAACTGTCTTAGTTTTAGTTCTCCAAATAATGAAGGGACCTTAAAAAATTCTGGAAAATTTTTTTTTTCCACTCAGTGATAGTCTCTGCCTCACAAAATTATACAACAGAAATGGGAATTCTGGAGATGGCAATATTAATGCTAAAAATATATTTCAAAGAATATGAAGTCACTGCCCAGCTGTGTAATTTGAAGATCAGAGAAAACGGCAGGCAAAATTACATTGAATCATTAGTATTTTAATTCCATTTAAGGTTAATAAGACACAGGAATAAAATTCAAAATGATGCTTCAAAGAATCTTTAATGAAATATGATTTTAAACTCACTCAGCTGGCACAGTGGTTGTCAGCTGCCACACCAAGTCCATGACAACATTTCACAAAGGAGAAATTAGAAAATAAGGGAGTATGGTTACTTTTTTTCAAAAGGCAGTCTTCTTCAGTTTGGTACACTACTGATGTTTCTAAAGTTGTAAGACTGTGATCATCATTTTTTTTTTAAATACTAAAATGTTCTGTTTTCAGAAGAGATAACAGAAGATGGTAGCAGTTATAAAAGTTTCTTGAGTAGGGAAAAAAGAAAGTTGGTGGCCTATGCCAATCCTTAAAATGTTTTTTTGTCCATGAAATACCAATGTCTAAAAAGTACTTCTCTACCTTACTTGGGACGGGTCTGTGAGGACACGGAGGGATTTAGGGGAGGCAGTGAGCAGTGTGTGTCTGGTGAGTACGCCTGCTGGCCTGTCACTACTCTTCACACTGTTTCTCAGGTCAGCTTTAAAATTTCAGTTAGGTGTTCTTATATTACAGGTATGGAAATTCCTACACGACAAACAACTTACCCAAGGACTGGCTAGAAGAGGGAGCCAAGTGAAGCCTATGCTCCCTGCCGTAACATCACAACACTTACCATAGTCAACTCATTTAAGGAGGCATATGTCCAATTTTTTCTTGTATACATCACGATGTTCCTTTCTCAATTCACTTTTTGATGCCTGGCTTCTGTTTATTTATATAGTGATAGAAAGAATTAAAAAACTTGAAAGTGTCAGTATTATTATCTTACACTTGTATCCCAGCTACTTTTGCCTTTTTGTTCAAGAATCCACATAAAACCTACCAGGAAACATTCATGGGGCAGCACCCTGATCATCTGCAGTTGAAGCAACCAGCATCACATCAGAGCACAAGTCCTCAGGCAGCAGTCAGTGAAAGCCAGAAGACATCAAGTTCAGAAAGGAAACACTGGACCAAATGCTGTCACTTGGACCTTGAGCCGAAAGAAGCTGGTCGGAAAGGCAGCGACAGGTGGAGGGACTGGGTGGGCAGGAGGGCTGACAGAGCACAGCTCTGGCAAGTGGAGGAAACAGCACCGGGCTAACACCTGGCAAATGATGTAATTGAGCCTGAACATCCAGGAACTGCAAGACCATGCTGGGTGTGACTGTGGCTCCCTCAACTCTCATTCACACATTGAAAACACATACAGTAAAGATCACATATGCATATAAACTCCTTGCAGCATGAAGTTTAGAACCAGAATTTAAAAAAATCTTTCTTCAAGGTATGTGCCTGGTATATAATGATATAAGGGTCAAAAATTTGGTTTCTGTTTGCTCAAAATCAAATTATAAAACAATAGTTTATTTTTCATACATTCCTCAATTTACCAAAGTCATCTGAAAATAAAGCCACATGTTCAACAAAGTGTTGGCAACCAACTTTTAATAATACATATTTAATTTTTCAGAAACATATGCTTACCATCAACAACATGATCAGGGTTCCACTGCCCCAGATGTTATTTCATTGGTACATTATATCAATATTTACAAAGGCTTTCAAATTCAACAACACAAAACAAAACAGCTTAATTTTTAAAACTACAATGCTTTAAAAAAATGTAAACAGTTCATTTTTACATTATCGTAAAAAAGAAGACTCACTCCTTAATGTGGCTTAATTATTTTTTAACTGAGCAAAGCCCGGTGCTCATGGATAAAGAATGAAAAGAATTCTTTACATAGAAACATTGTGCTCCAGTGTGGCAAAAACAAACAAAAAATTATATATATGCATACAAAGAAAAGAATCTTAAATCCATGATTTAGACCACACACAAAAAAATCTTGTCCCCAAATTGAGAAATTTATAAAAACCATTTATACATGGTTGTTGACCTATTGAAAACCTATATAACATTTTCAAAATAATAACTCAGTCAAAAGATACCACTTTTCTTAAAAATGAAATTTTGTGCAAAAGAAATTGTTTAAGCTAAAAACAAGACTCCCCCCTCCCCAAAAAGAGGCCAAAAGAGCCACTGAAATAATTTAACTCTGTTAGATTTAGTGCATGTAACCAAAAGGCACACACATGTGATTAATATATTAATATATTTTCATGCATAAACCTGTGCATGTTCACAAGTATATAACAAAAACACAAACATAACAAAACATAAAGCCTAATGTACGGCAATGTTATTCTAGCCACATTCTTTTCTAGTCTATCAGTCTAGGGTTCACTAGATCATTAACACTGCCTCTTAAAAAATATATTATATTTGAATAACTTTCTGATAAAAATTAAAAAAAGGATGTTAGCCTGAAATACTATATTATTTTCAGTTCTGATACATATAGAAACTTACTGATATGTTTAAGTGCTATTTCAAATTAAGGTACATTTTTCCTTTTGTTAATAAACACTTTGATTGCTCCAGTGAAGTCAGCAGAAAGAAGAACTTCTGTGTTATCTGTCTTCAAAATACCTTAAAAGCATAAGAAAAAAAATTCTCCAGTTGATTTTAAAGTAATTTGAAACCTGCTACCACAACTGGCACAGTCCCATGACCATCTTTAGGTCAAAGATCCTCCCCATCCTTTCAGTCCCCTTTTCTCCCAGTTCACTCCAACAACCCTATCAACCCCTTGGAAGTCTCCCTCCTCCCTGAGGCTCACGTCCGCTTACCTTGTCTTAGCTGGTGGTCTCTTCCAGGCTTAGGGTGATAACAGCCCCTTGGGGCCTGGAAGCCTGGATTTACTACCAGGCAGCCTAGGCCTCTAAATTTTGTGATGTTTCCTTTCCTGGTAAGAGACCGGCATTTTAATTCCGTCTCAGGACTCAGCTGGGTGAGTGCTGCTAAGGGAGGTCTCCAATGATGTTGACATGAGGGCTACTGTCCAGCAGGTATACTGAACGTGCCATGAAACGAAGCACATGGGTTGCTTTGTGAGTGCTGACAGTACTCTCCATTTACAGCATATTGATGTGCGGTGTAGCTATGCTGAATGGTAAAAATGCTTACCTCATTTTACCAGTAAAAACATTTAATAAACAAAATGCAGTGTTAACAATATTATGCACAAGAAAAAATTGTGGATTTAGGGAGTACAAATTAGTAAGGAAGAAAAAAATCTAAACTTTTATTGGAAAATCATGTGCAAAATGAGTTTGAAAAAAGGTTTACTTTAGATTTGCAACACTTCTGGACGCTCCTTACCACACTGTTGGCATATCTCAGAGCAGTGCTATGCAGCAGAAGCAGCAGTAAAAGGACTTATGGATAGGAAAAGGCTAAGAAGAAATTCATCCTGTACATACAAATGTGTTTTGAGGTACAATAATATCGATCATGACAATGTTTACCACTTGCCAGGCATTTTGCCAGCTACTGTACACGTTATCTTTAATTCTTAGAACTCTATAAACCAGGTATTCCCATTTTACACATAAGGAAACGGAAACTTAAACTGAAAATATATCAGGAATAAAGAGAGAACAATCACATGTATTTTATGATCTCAAACCCTAGATTAAGGGGTTATTCTTAGATTATACCCAGACAGGTACAAAACAGCAAACAAAAATCTGATTATGAGCTATTAAAAGCTGCATATCTTTAAAAAGAACCCAATGAAGAAAAGAAATATCTCCAAATAGGTATTTAGTAAAGATTTAATAATTCCAACTCAGTTTATTTTTACATTTTGTAACTGAAAGTTCTTTGCTATCAAAATTTGTCTTCATCAACAGAAAAAATAGTTTAGTTAGTGTAGCATACAGTGCAAATACTACTACAGGGGAATTACTTGAGATGAAATGAAATAAAAATATGTCTAAACTTTTAAGCACAAATACTTTTTAGAAGCACCCTTTGTGCACTGCATCCTTTGGGCTTCACAGTTCTCTGAAAGGCCTGGGTACAGACTCCAGAGTGACGAAACATCCATGTTGAAGCACACATAAATGGCAAGAAAACATAGGCTTGTATATTAGCTACCTACACAGCTGTACATTTGTGCAAATAGAAAAGGACACTGGCTCATATTGGTTTAATTCATTTATTTAGCAAATGTTTGCTAAGCATCTATTATGTACAGGCAAGCACTGCGCTAGGCACAGGCAGTACAACAATTAAGAAGCCTGCCAGAAGAAACAGATAATGAAAAACTGTATTTTTAATGCCTGATTTGCAATTCTCTGAAAAGAATGGTTGTCTAAAAAAAGATAAACTTTCAAAAATTTCATTTTTAATTCTCACGTGAATTTAAAAGAGATAAAACTTATAAGAAACATGTTATTCAAATGTTTGGAAACATGCATCTAACAAGCATTATGTTGTAAATAAGAAATACTCCTCCTACTCATAAAAGCTCATAATACCCAATATGGAGTCAGTGAGGCCACAAAGTGCCAACTAGAAAAAGTGTAGGACAAATAGAATTTGAGTACCTACCAGAGGGTATGGTATCTAAAACTTCAGCATCTTCACCTTTATCATTTCCTTCTGATTTTTCAGCTTGTACATCCCAGGATAACATCAAACTTGGGTTTGGAGCAAAGATGGCTGATGTGACAACTGCATTATGTGCTGTGGAAAAAAAGTGTACTTCAGGACAACCAGTACATTTGATTCCAAAGACCAAGATGAAGGAGAAAGAAACATATCGGATGGTTTCACTTAGAGGAGGAATAAAGGGGATCCAAATAAGGGATCAGGGGATAGAAAATAGTAACAATTAAAAAACAAAATTAACAGGGACCCATAAATCAGAGAAACTCCTTAGGGGGGGGAGGGATCAAAACAAGGGTGGGAAGAGCACAAGGGACTATGATGACAGTGCATGGCTGAATTGGTGGTGGGAATTCTATGGGGACTGCACCTGAGAGGAGAATGCAAACATTTCACCAAAATGAACAATGTTGTAAAATATATGTAAATAAATTAATAAAGGAAAATAAAATCAAGATGAAAGCATATTATGAAAAAATTACAATAGTGTAAGTTAAATGCTGTATCTTAAATACTAACATGTAAGTGACTAAGAAC